GTCATACACCGCTCCTACACACTGCTTCAGGTCACGTACCGCTCCAGCACACTGCCTCAGGTCATGCATCGCTCCCGCTCACTGCCTCAGGTCACGCTCCGCTCCTGCACACTGCCTCAGGTCACGCTCCGCTCCTGCACACCGCCTGCACACACTGTACAGATCACCTGCACAGCACACCGGCACACTGCACACATGTCGTACTTACACCGCACAGATAACTGTCCCATAAACTGCAAGTTGCACAGCCGACTCTCCCGCGCACTGCAGATATCACTGCCCCTCATACTGCACAGATCACTCCCGTACACTGCATAGCTGACTCTCGTGCACTGCATGGATCACTTCCGTACACTGCACAGCTGACTCTCTCGTACACCGCACAGATCACTGCCCCTCATACTGCGCACATCACTCTCCCGTACACTGCACAGGTCACTCTCCCGTCCAGGACACAAGGCGCTCCCATATATATAGCACAGATCACGGCCCCTCCCACCGTGCAGAGCGGCTCCAGCCTCCCACGCAGCGCTCAGACGAGTGAGGATTGCGGTGGTCCACTCCGGGGAGGGGGGGGGGGGGACATGGTCGGCAGTGCGTTTGGCTTAGGTTCATGGGAGCCCGGCTTGAGTCCGGCGCATGGTACATGGCGCCGTTGTGAAGATCACTCTCCTAGAATATGAGTTAAAGTGGGACCGGAACGTACTCGTGCGCCTCAAACTCAGAACACCCGCGTGCCTGTGTGTCGCACATTTAGTGTGGAGCACACCAGCAGGTGACATCGCAGGGAGCCGGCCGGCCGCTTCCGTGGCGGAGCTCGGCGTGTGCTCCGTGTGGTGGCGGCCGTGCGGCCCTCCGCGTGCGGCCGCGGCTGGCGCTGACCGCGAGCGCGGCGCCGCCAGGGTGTGGTCCGACTACAGCGAGCCGGCCACGCGCGCGCCGATCTGCGTCACCTCGTGGTCGGCGCTGGAGGCGACGCGTGGTGGCGGCAGCTCTCCGTCACCTGGCTGCAGGCGAGCGGGCCGGCTGGTGGCCGGCGGCGAGGAGCGCTCGCTGCACGTCTGGGACCTGCAGCGCGAGCGCGCGTCGCCGAGCTGCCGTGGCGGGCGCCGACACCTCCGTCACGGCGCTGGCCTCCAACGAGTCAGGTCGGTGGTGGCCGGCGCGCCCCCGTCCCTCGCATGCTCTGGCTGGGACTCTTTTCTGACTGGCGTTAAGTGTAGGTAAGGGGAAGGGGGGGGGGGACAACACGCCGTACCCTCCGTCGGCCCTGGCAGTGCGCTGGTGCAGTGCCGGTGCTCCCAGGCGTGTTCGGTGCTTGACCCGTGCCGGCCTGTCGTCTCGCCCCAGCGCCATCTTTTGACGCGCCCTGTCTTCTGACGCGCCCTGTATGCTGACGCGCCCTGTCTTCTGACGGCCCTCTCGTCTGACGCGCCCTGTCTTCTGACGCGCCCTCTCGTCTGACGCGCCCTGCCTTCTGACGCGCCTTGTCTTCTGACGCGCCTTGTCTGCTGACGCGTCCCTGTCCCCCTCCCACCGCGGCACGCAGAGCCCCACCTGGTGGTGGCCGGCTGCTCCAGCGGCACGGTCGGCTGTTCGACACGCGCCTGTCGGGGGCCGCAGTCGCGGGGTGGGCTCGTGGCGCGAGCACCAGGCGTTCGTGGTGTCGGCTGAGCTGCGCGCCGTCGGAGGACACACGGTGGCCGTCACGGGAGAGTGAGTACCGCCGCCGGCAGACGGCCGCTCACGACCAGGGCGCAGCGGAGCCGCTGTCGAACCCCGATTACAGGATACCGCCCGTCTCTGGTGCTGAAATTCACAATGTTGCCTCTGTTTATCCCTGCGAGGGTGGCCGTTGGTGTCATGGACCAACCGTTTCACGTCCAGTCCTGCCTGGGAGCCCATAATTGCAGTGTGGAGGCCGCCGGCGGGGCCCACGTCGCCATCTACCGAGCACGTGTCAACTGTCCACACGCGTTTGGGCCGTGTAGCTGGATGAGGATGAGATGCGGTGATGCAGCCGGGTTTAATCCGGCCGGCGACGGTCGACGTCGGTCGCTGTGCTGCTGGCCGGCGGCGGTCGGCGTCGGTCGCTGTGCCGCCGACCGGCCGGCGGCCGTGTGAGCGGCGCCTGACGCGGGCCGACTCGGCCTCGCCTGCAGTCAGAAGGGCGACGTCAAGCTCTGGGACGCCCGGCGGCCCTCCTCCGTCAGGACGTTCCACACCGTCTCCGACGTGATGACCATGGCTGTGCACCCCACCGCCGACCTGCTGGCCTGGTGAGTGTGCGCCGTGGTCGGGCGAGCGCTGGCTGCGCCCTGGGGAAAAGCGTCGGACTCGTCTGGTGTGAGCGTTTTCCATGGTTTGGAGGCGATTTATGGGCGGAGTGTCGCCTAATGTGCATAGTATTGACTGTGGTTTGTTGAGTAATGTCTGTGGTCTTAGGAGTGTTGTCTGCTCTTGGTATGTGTCTGTAGGCTGTTGAGTGGTGTCTGGCCTGATAACAGTGGAGCGGATTGTCCGTGGTCAGGTGACATGGAGCGGATTGTCCGTGGTCTGGTGACATGGAGCGGATTGTCCGTGGTCTGGTCACAGTGGAGCGGATTGTCCGTGGTCTGGTGACATGGAGCGGATTGTCCGTGGTCTGGTGACAGTGGAGCGGATTGTCCGTGGTCTGGTGACAGTGGAGCGAATTGTCCGTGGTCTGGTGACAGTGGAGCGGATTGTTCGTGATCTGGTGACAGTGGAGCGCATTGTCCGTGGTTTGGTGACAGTGGAGCGAATTGTCCGTGGTCTGGTGACATGGAGCGGATTGTCCGTGGTGTGGTGACAGTGGAGCGAATTGTCCGTGGTCTGGTGACAGTGGAGCGGATTGTCCGTGATCTGGTGACAGTGGAGCGGATTGTCCGCGGTCTGTGGCCTGGAGACAGCAGCGATTGCTCCTTTGGTCCTGCGAGTCATCTGTTGTATGAGGAGCAGTGCGTGAGGTCATGACTATGGGGGTTGCCTCATTTGGGGACGGTGGACGGTGTTGCCCGTGGTCTGAGGACATTGGTAAGAGTTGCAGGAGGTCTGAGGAGGGTTGTCTGCAGTCTGAGAGTTGTCTGCAGCCTGAGAAGGGTGTCTGCAGTCTGGTGAGTGTGGTTTGTGTACGGATGCCGTCAGTGGCATGTTGAGCCTGTGGTCTGGTGAATACTGTGCGTGGTCCGCGAGATGTGGCTGGCCTCAGAGGTCGGGTTTTGTGAGTATTGACCTCAGTCTGTGGAGTGCCTGCTCGGCTCCGCTGACCGCCGCTCGCGTCGGGCGCGTGCTTTGTACCGTACAGGATGTCATGACGAACCCCGTGCAATATCCTGCGCTGACATCTCTCCGGCTCCGGTCGTCACTGGAGCGTGTGCGGCTGGCGCGGGCTGGGCGACTGCGATGCCTGTGCTGCGTGCCGCGGAACCTCGCACACGTGTGACCGGTGTGCGTGTGCCCTGCCGCAGCGGGTCGGTGAACCAGTACATATCGCTGTACACGCTGACGGGCGAGAGCCTCAACACCATCCGCTACCATGACGGCTTCATGGGACAGCGCATCGGTGAGTGGGCCGCGCTGACACACACACACACGCACGCACACACACGCACGCACGCACGCACGCACGCACGCACGCACGCACGCACGCACGCACGCACGCACGCGCACCCCACCCGCGGCTGGGGCGACGGCACAGGCCTCGCGCTGCCCTGGCCAGGTCGCCGCGCTGACACACACACACACGCACCCCACCCGCGACTGGGGCGACGGCACAGGCCTCGTGCCGCCCTGGCCACGCCGCCTGTGCTGGCGGAGTGGGCAGGAGGGGACTGGGAGTGAGGCGGTCAGGTTAGGCGCGCCTCCCTGAACCAACGCGTAAACAGATGAAAAGCCAGCTGAAGTCTGGCCTGACAGACGGTCAACATGCAACGAAGTGGTCCTTAGTGTCGTTTTGCATGGCTCAAATACCGAACAGATAGATAGACGACCCTTTTGTTCTTCATGGTTGTTCGTGACTGTTCGAGTTCAGAAGCCACATCGTCCCGCGCCACGATCCGGAAGTGCTCAGCTGCGTGTGCGTTGTTGTTTCGTGCCCCGAGTGGGCGGCTGGTCGTCTGGCCTCGGGGCGGCGCCCGGCGGACGGGTCGGCTGACGGGGTGGGTGGCGCCTGTCCGGCAGGGCCCGTCTCCTGCCTGGCGTTCCACCCAGTGCGGGTGGCGTTGGCGGCCGGCAGCACCGACTCGCTGGTCTCCGTGTACGGGCTGCCGCGCAGCTGATGGGCCTGGCGCCGGCCGCTCGCCGCCGGCCCTCGCCCGGCCGAGCCTCGGTCGGCGCGTCTGCCGCGCAGCTGATGGGTGTGCCGGCACGGGCGCAGGGGCGCCGCGACTGCGCCGCGACGCCGTCACCGGACGCCGCTCGACGCAGGGGGTGTGAGGCCGCGTGCAGAGTTACCGGGCCGCGGAGCCGGCCTGCGGGCGGCGGCGGCCGGTATTTTATCGGGATGACCTCGAGCTTCAAGCCCCGCACCACTGAGGCAACTTACTCGTTTTGCTAGGGTACTTGTGCGCGCGCCAGGGGTCAGGCGGGAGCGGCTAGATGCTGTCATTGTGTCCACATGTTCAGATTTGTGTAGTTACGGCGTCTTGCGCGGTTTCGCGTTCGTGCACTGCCATCTGCTGGTGACCGTGCGAAGTGAGTGGGCCCGTCGAGCGGCGCCTGCTGCCACGGCGGTGCGTCTGGTCGTGATGGGGCCTGCCGGGGCGAGGCGCCTCTTGCCACGATGGTGCCTGCTGAGGCGGCGCCTCTTGTCACGATGGTGCCTGCCGAGGCGGCGCCTCTTGCCACGATGGTGCATCCCAGGTCCGTCAGTTGGGTGGACATGGTCGGGCTGTAAGATGGCTGTCGTAAAGTGGCCGCCACCAGCGTCCCGGCGAGTGCTGCGACGAGTTGCTGGGGGCTTTGCGCGGGGCTCCCACCAGCTGATGTCGCAGCACGGTGCAATTACGTGGCAGCGCAGTGTAATCGCTTTGGTGTATTCGCGCTCCGTGTCGTGCATTATACAACCTTGTGTGTCGGTCCGGTAGCTGCAGCGTTTGACACTACGTGTGGTACTATGATGCTTGCTTCTGCTGCCACTCCGTTATTTGTGTTGTCCCGTCTGTCCCTCCGTTGCCAGCTGCCTCGACCAGTGTTACCAGCGACCAGTTGCTAGCATCAACTGCTTCAACCGTTGCCACGACGTTTGAGCCATCTACGGGTGTCCGCGAGCGCGGCTGGCGTCGCGATGCTCCCACGCATTTGGCGGAGCAGGGCGCGCGGTTTGCCATAAATCGGATTCACCGCGGCGTGGGGCGCTGTGGCGCTCGTGCTCGCCTGCCTTCTGCGCTGTGCGGAGGCTGCGTACGGACACCAAGCCGTCGGAGTGCGCGCCCTGTGCGCCCGAGCTTGCCGTCGGACGCGTACCCACCGGCTTGTGATTTTTTGGAGAAGGGTCGTCGACGCTTTGGTTCATGTGAAATTCAAAAAGCTAGCCACAACACAGTGTGTGATTTTTTTTAGAAAAGTGCTGTTAACATCGGACAGCAAATGCAGATTTTCTCCATAGACCGCGACGCTTCGGCGCGACGGAAGCCGCCGCAGGGCGGGGCCCGGCGTTGCCGCTGCGGAGTCAGCCAGGTGGTCTCGACCTGGCTGGTCTACGACCAGTTCCATGGGGCCTTGTGAGGCCAGAGTTGGGATCGGTAGAGCCTCTGTCCAGGCCGGATCTGAGGATTGCATTACGGTCTTCTGAGAACATCTGTGTATGCTGTCGGATCTTGAACCGGCCTCAAAAATGGCGACAGACGACCGCCAAAAACGCAATGGGGTTTGACGTTTACACCAGGCATGGACGCCGGGCGTGCCGCGACCTGGGCGTCACAGGGACGGCGCAGGGTCGCGCGGCTTGGCAGGCGCTCAGCGGCGCCTCCGCCGGCCGCGCGAGCGACTCAAGTGCCTCCCGGGCTGTCGACACGCGTCAATTGTGGAAATATACGAATGCGCAAATCAAATCCCGAGTCATGGATGCCGGTATAGAATGTGTGGCCTGCACGCGGACTGGCGGCCACCGAATGCTGCCACGAGAAGGAGCTGGTACCGGCTGGGTAGGTGGACGAGAAATGCCACAGATGATTAGACTGCAAATGACGGTACGTGGACGTCGTATTCGATCTCGGGCCTCTCCCAGGGAATCGTCATTTAATCTCGATGAGTCTTTCGTTTGAGCAACGAACATTAGTCATGCCACGTCCCAAGTGGCCCTGCCAAATTACAACTGGATGTAGCTGACTTGTGAGCTTCATTGTGCTGTTTTCCCAGCCGGCGTTGGAAACGCCTCCATTATCGCCTGCTCGAGACCAAGCCGTGACAGCCACGTTGTGTAGAACCCAACAGGCCACTTCCAGGCCGAAGGCTGGAACATTAAGGACAAAACATTTTTGATTAAAAGGCCCACTGAAACCAGGTCAGTTCGCTTTGGGCTCTACTTTCGTATGAAAGTGAGGCTATACTTCACACAGCTTTCTAGCCCACGTGACCCCAGCGAAAGAACGTCAAGGTCTACAAATATTTGCGCACTTCCGCACGAAATTAGCCCCCGAAGCAGGCAACTAGCAGCAAGTAGTTTGACTTCATTCGTTACTGTGGCGAGCGTGCAGGTTGAAAGCAGCCACGCCCGGCTGCGCTGCCAGCAGGCGCGAGGGCCTTTTATGGAATCGTAAACACTCGAGCCTCAAAAGGACGTTGTTGATTGCCAGGGCAGATATGCAGTATGTATTGACAACGAAATCCGGCATGCTGCCGGTCCTGCCAGGTCTCTGGTGCGACCCGATAACGAAAATCGTCAAAAGGTCCGGTTGACAGGGGTCGGCCGGGGTACTCAACTATAGTTAATGCCCCCTTCCCCTTAAAATAAACGAGTGCAACACGTGCCTACATTCCAGAGGTGGCAGTTCCGTTAATTGAATACATGACTTCACTTACACCGGCAAGCAGTAACACAATGTCGAGTTTTCTAGTTAGATATTTCCGACAACGGATCGGTCTCTGGATCTCGGGCCACGCCGCCCACATGTACACTTCCAGCGGGCCCGGGGCGTCTGCCAACAGCACCGCACACTGCCACCCGCCGGTGCCATCGCACCGCGCGATCGCCTTCGCCGCTGGCAACCGAGCTGGACCCCGCCGTCTTCGGGTGTCCGCTGAGGTGTCCGAGGCTGCGCTCGCGACGCGGACACCGGCGCGGCGCGTGGCCCTGCCGAGGCCCGCCGCGGCACGGGCTGACAGGTCGGAAGACGGTCACAGACACGCGATCAACGATGTACAGACAGGCCGCGAACGAGTTGCAAAAGGACACAGATGCAAGATTAAAGGACGATGTCTTGCAGACACCACAGACCACTACCGCGGCTGCCGGCCGGTGCGCAGTAAATACGCTACAACGAAGAAAATATATCGGATTCCATAGATTCATATGCGGTATGGTCACTTCTGTGCGCTGTTGTACCGGCCGCTCACACACACACACACACACACGCACACCTCCCACACACACACACGCTCACACACAATGTCTTTGGCTTAACATGAAATACTGACCAGGCACGTGCGAGACTACTAGGACGCAACTAAAATGATATCAGCTTGAAATTGGGGCTGAATCACCTGACCAGAAATGGGCAACCCCAATGACGCACGCCCGGTGTCTCGCTCTCCCAGAAACGCAACAGCTCAACATGGACGCTTTCTCGAGGGAAGCACGGCTGGAATCAGTCAGTACAGGCGAGGTTTACTTGTCACATAACCGAGAAGCGAGTGTGGACCGCGACCAAGGCAACAGCGTCCACGATGAATCGAGAAGTATTTCCCAATGCCAAAGTATCACAAGTGCGGTCGAAGTGTCGCCAGCTGACTCATGAGGCGAGGCACTGACAGTCCCCCCCCCCCCCCCTGCCGTACGGTCAGCGCAGGGTCCTGGGGATCCCCTCCACAACACGCTCCAGCGCAGCGGCCGCGCAGTGAGGCGCCGCTCGAAACCCGCCATCACACGACAGGACTCGCGCAGGCAGGGACTGCGCCGGACCGGCGACAAACACTGGGAACGACCAGCCCGACGAAGGGGCTCCCAGAGCGAGACCCTCCACACATCTCGTCTCGTACAAGAGGCGGCTATAAAAGGCGCAGAGACTTCCACGGAGACCGGCCACTCTCCACACAAGGAACGGTGCCACCGACTGACGAATGAGGGACACGAGTGATAACCGGGAACGGGCGCTTGCATTTTAATGTTCATCTTTCCAAGACACACCACGCCGTGATGCCAAATCCAAGGGGTGAAGGATGAAAGACGTGTGGCGAGGGGGGGGGGGGGGCAGGACGCAACGTGGTCTGCATGGTACCCCAGGCTCCGACAGAGTTTGATGATTGGTAGGGAAGTGACTTGCACGGGAACGACCATTCCATCTCCGCCAGGACTCATACAGGACTATCTTGATGCCTGGACTCGCACACCTTCAGCTCGTACGAAGGACAGCTGCAGCAGGTTCTAAACGCATAACAGGACGGCCATTCTAGAACACATTCACACGATGAGAGGAGCCACCCAGACTTGACACCGCTGGCACGTCGCACCGCACTCGTCAGACCTAGACTTCTGTGAGGACGCCCGGACACAGCCCCGTCCCGATGGCGGGCCTGCGTCCTCGGCAGCGGCCGTCGGGTGCCGTCGCCAGTCTCGTCGTCAGTGGCAGGGCGCGCACCCCGCAGTGCTACAGACGCGTCCACCAGTTGGCACCTTCACATCGGAGCGCCAGCCGCCACTCGCACTCCCCCGAAGACGGCGGCCGTCACGGCGCCGCGCGCGGCCGGCGTCTGCGGCGCAGTTTCCCGGTCCGGCCGCGCGGAGCGCACCACACGCGGCGCGACGCCGCCGCGCTCTTAACACGCACGCGCGCGCAGTCAGACTGGTACAGCGGGTTGGGCGCCATACATGTGCGTCGCGGCCACGGCACTGACCACGACCGTTGATCGCGCTCCACACGGGCACACGCTGTCCGGGCCGGCGCAGGAAGCGCCATCTGCCAGCGGCGCCGTACCCGTCCAACGTCCGGTGCGGTACGCCGCGGCCTAGCTGACGCTCGCACCACTCGCAACACGGTACCGTGACCACCGCGCGCCGGACGCCGGGCGCCACAGACACGAGTCAGTTCGGTCCAGCCACGGCTCTCGTCCTCCCAGCCGTCCAGGAGTGGCGGGCGACGCCACCGGCCTGTGGTGCTGGCATCCGTCCCCACTCGGTCGCCACCGAGACTCACACGCCTGCGGTGCGTCTCTCGGCGACGTAGCAGCTGCTCGCTGGGCCGGCCAGCACGCGCCTCCCGGCGCCTGGGGGCGTCCAGCCCGCCGGCGCCGGGCCACGCCGACCTCAGGCCGGACCGACCCTCAGCCGCCCCGGGCCGGGCCGGGCCGGCGACCGGCGCCGGGCGCCGACGGAGGCCGTGCCGCTGCGACCCGCTCCCGCACACGGCGACCCAGCAGAGCTCGCGGCCCGGCGCGCGGCGCGCCGGCGTACCCGGTGCCGCCTCAGTCGGAGTCGGCGGCGGAACGCTCGGCCAGCAGCTGGACGGCGGCCACCTCCTCGGCCGTCAGGTAGCCGCGCGACACCGCGTAGTCGGCCAACGCCGTGTGGCAGAACACAAACTGGTCGGGCATCTGGATGCTGTGCGCCCGCTGGGAGCGCACCTTCTCCACGGTGCCCTGCACATCCACCGTGCCCACGTCCTCCAGCCGGCGGATGCAGATGTCCAGCGTGCAGAACGTGCCTGTCGGACACGGCGGGCAGTCAGGCAACGGGTCGCGCCGACACCAGCCAACCAACCGGCCAAATGAGCGTCAGCCACTGCCCTCTCACGCGTCCCTGAGTGAAGAGCTCGACACAAGCACGCACGCACCCGCCAGCGCGCACGCCACCCTCGGCAGCGGTCGGGGGCGTTCCACAGGGGTTGGCGCTCCATACCTGTGCGTCCGATGCCGGCGCTGCAGTGCACCAGTATGGGCGGGCCGAGCGGGTGGCCGCTCCAGGACGGGCTGAGCTCGGCCAGGCGCCGCTCCTGCGTCTGGCGCACGGCCGCCAGGAAGCGCAGCATGGCGTCCGCCGAGTGCGGCACGTTGTAGTCGGGCCACGCCGTGAAGAGGAAGTGCGTCACCTGAACGGACGGGGAGACGGCCGGTCAGGGATCAGAGGTCAGAGGTCAGCGACGCTCCGGGCGTCGCGTCACGACGGCCGACGCTGGACGCGGCTTCGGCATCCGTCCTGCACCAGTCTAGCGACGCCAAACATCGGGTGAAACGAAAGTGACCGCTCCTGAACAACAATTCTGGCCACCTTTCAAGGGAATGTTCTACATTTCAAGATCGCAGCTGCTATCTTCTGAGAGATGGCAGCACGGGCTGGAAGTATTCGCTAAGCTCAATATCGTTATGCGCTTGGTCTTTGGCCCTTTCTCGTGGTGTTATTGCATAATTTATCGGTAAGTTTAAGACGTTTCCTTGCATTCAAACGCTCGGTTAAAGCGATATTCTTAAATTATTTGATTAAAAGTCCGAATTCTGTTGCAGATAGGGAGAACGTATAACTTCTTATACACGTAGGACAAAACGTAGTTTATGTAAGGTTCTTGAATAATCATCACAGCACTGATTTACTCGATCAAGAGCCGTCGTATCTGGCGGGCGTGCTCGCGAACGCCAGATATGAACAACTCAACAAATATACTTTTATTGGCCTTGATCGCCACATGGCTTATGAAATGGCAGGATTTGCATGACGTTATCATGACGTCATGAGTGTTAACGGAACTTTGAAAGACTCTCCACGATATATCTTTCCACATTTTCGCGGGCGTGAGGCTCAGGAACTAGAGGTTTTTAGGATGGTAGGGCTGTGAACTACACCGAATGATCTTCGAGAGGGCCATTTCAGCTCAAAACCCCGTACAAACATGGAACGCTTCCTTTAACGGACGAATGAGCCTACGACGCAGCCTTCCCATTTGAGAAAAATGGCGATCGGTTTGGAGAACCAGTCCCAAATACACACTGAGCGCATGCGCCCCGCCGATTTACGCCAGACCTAGCCTACGGTCCGCGCCCCGCGTGGTGGGACGGGAGCGGCCGACGCGCCGAGCGCCGCCTAACCTGGCGCGTCTGCGACGAGCGCGTGTCCGTCAGCAGCAGCTGGCTGACGTTGTAGCAGTCCTCCTGCGTGACGCCCAGGTTCTCGATGGTGAAGAAGCCGTGGCGCGTCTCGTGGCCGAGCTCGAGCGGCCAGTACCGGCCGCACTTGGTGCGGCCCTGCTCCACCAGCCGCGTGGTCATGACGATCAGCAGCACGCGCTGCTCCCACACCATCCGCCAGAAGTCGGCGAACGTACCCGGAATCGGACCTGCCCGGCGCGCGCGCGCTCAGTCACACGGTGACACACAGCCAGACGTGCGGCGGTGCACACGGCACGAGGCGCTCACATCCGGTTCACACAGCGTCACCCGCCGTCGATCTCACACGTGTTCACCTGACACACACGGCCACCGGACTGACGCGGCGGTGCTCACCGCCGGAGACCAGCACCACCGGTACATACGGCGTCCCAAAGGAGAACACGCTCGGACGGAGGCGGCGGCCTGCTCCGCTCGCCGGGTCGGGTCGGGTTGGGTCGGGTCGGGTCGGGTCGGGTCGGGTCGGGTCGGGCTGGGCCGGGCCAGGCCGGCCTGCTCCCCCCCTCCCCTCCCCAGGGCGGCACCCACCTTGGGACGAGATGAAGGCGTTCTTCTGCTTGTAGCCGTCTACGTAGTTGGCGTTGATGTAGTCCGAGTTGGGGTCGTCGTCGACCTGGGAGAGCGTGACCCGGCTATGGTCGTAGCACAGCACGTCGCTGTACCGGTTCTTGCCGCGGTTGGCCGGTACCCTGGCGGAGCGCAGGGTCGGGTCAGGTCGGGTCGGGCCGTCAGCCGCGCGGTATGGCTCCGACGCCAGGCGCAGCCGCCGCCGCCGGTCAGAAGTAGGTCGAACACCACGCGCATGATGGACAGTTAAATGGCGCAAAAGGGCCCAAGTGACCTTGAATAACGTCAATCACCAGTAAAGATCCCGCCGGCAGTGGGACCCCACAGGACGGGAAGAAAGTGGGGACTGGTGAAAACCTCCAACCCCACTTTCAAAGAGTCGTCCTAACCACCGAACTACGAGGCGCTCAATCCATCCGAGCTTTTTTGCAGGTGAATATGTGCTCCATGAAATATGGCATATCCGTGTATGGATGCAATTGATAGACCAACATCTTTAGGCTTGTTGGTGTTTACTGTAGAACCCCAACTTCTTTCATCAGAATCCCAACACAATTTCTGAAGAGCTGTACTGCAGCGGTTTTGTTTAGCTAATGACATACAGTGGCAAATGCCAGCAAATGTTACAGTGAAGGCCGCCAACACAGTGCGTTGGACGCTGGGTTTTCGATAGCCGTCCAAGGACTGTGATGAAAGGACAACTGCTCTACGAGATACAATGGTCGGTAACCCGTGCGCACAGCAGGTTGTCAGACTACAGTCTTATATTGATGGCGTGCCTGCAAAATAAACACATGTCCGAGCAGCCCAGCACATATTACGGATTTGGCTGATTTTCAAGCACATGAGCTGTAAAAGAATTTTGAGATCCAGAAGCAGCATTGTTATAATTTGTATTTGTACAAGACCGTTTATCAGACCAGAAGCGTTCATGAACCAGGTATTGCTTTGGACAGCTACGATAAATCGTACCATAGCCAGGTACTGATTACAAATTAGAAGTGCAGTTGCATCATGCTCAGAGATAATGGTGATCAGGCACATACTGCGGCAGTGACTTCACTTCAGGGGACGAAGTTGTGCGGGCAAGAAGGGACTGAACTTTATGCAAATGTGGGCAGACGAACCCCAATATTGAGGAGCACATGCACCAATTTGGTGCATGGGCACTCGATGTTAACGGAGTTTGGGTCAGATTAAGAGACCAGGTTGGATCCCCATCGGTTCCTTCCAGCTGCAGGGACGCTGGATGCCAACGCTCAGCAGAAGGCAGCTGTCTCCAACTTAAGCCGGAGCGAATTTCGCCGCCGGTTTTGGACCAGAAGTGAAGGGTAAGGCCAGCCCACTGCCTCACGGTCAGCTGTTGCGGACAGTGCGGTGACGTAGGATGACGCCAGCAGCAGGCGGGCTGTCCGAGGGGACTGTCGGACTGCTGGTCCGTACGTGAAAATCGGGCTAGAGAGCGACAGCGTGCGCAGAGCGTTATGCTGCATCGCGTGTCAGTTTAAAAACTAATGTGCCAATTTCGGAGCACAGTTGTACGACAAATGACCCAAATACGTCTCAGCAGCTAATCCCGGTTGGCGTCTCAACGAACGGCATTGTCTCCCCACATGGGCGATCGGGCTCCAGTGGCACTCACATGGAGTGGTTGAAGGTGCCGGCCGGCGCCTGGGCCTTGATCTCCCAGTAGTCGTCGTACAGCTGCCTGCGCCCCTTGGCCTCCAGCTGGCCGAGCAGCTCCTGCAGCGTGGCGCCGCGGCCGTCGTCCATGTGCAGCGAGTCATCGTCCGAGAAGCCGGAGCTCTCGGAGCAGGCGGCCGGCTCCGGCGAGTGCGAGCCGGCCGGCGGCGGCGTGGCGGCCGCTCGTCGCACGTTGCCGTCGCCGTCCGACGAGAAGGACGCCTCTGACACCTCGCTGGCGCCGCTCGCCTCCGCCGACGAGTTGGCGTTGGCCACATCGTCCACCGTCATGCCGACCCGCTCGCAGTCCAGCTGCACGGACCGGGCAGGTCAGGTCAGGTCAGGTCAGGTCAGGGGAGCGGAGGCGGAGCGGCCGACCTCATCAGCTCGCTGGCGGCGGCAGATGCCGGGCACGCTAATCCCGCCGGCAGGGGACCACTGGGACCTATGACGTCACTGGCAGGGCATGATATGGTAACAGGCGTGAAACACTATCTGGGAACTCGATTTACCTATGTCGTAGTAACAAGAAACGAGTAAAAATATTTCGACAAGTGTTGTGGCAGCCACACAACTCACTCCGGCAACGCATACCCAAATTACCTACGTGATTTTGCATCATGGTCCTTATATTCTAAAGCATTCCACAACTCACACCGACATAACTATGGCGGTTATGATCATGGTTCCCATAGTCATCACATAATTACGGTTACCTATCAAGGTACGAACTGACAAGACCTCTGAAGCCTTCATGATCACGGTAGACTTTCGCGATCTCCCCCCCCCCCCCCCCCTCCCCACACGGCTCCCGCATCCCTTCGATGTTTTTACCCATCCGGACCTTAATGTGACATCTGATGCTCGTGTACCTTATGCCCCAGACCTTTGAGGATCAATGAAGGCCCTTTCTTAAACGCCTTTTTCCTCGTGCTCATGTGTCTCCAGTGTTTTGGGGGCAGTGATGCTTATGGTCACGTTACATTCTGGGTGTCCCTGTCTCTGTGGCACGTTTGTTTCCGTGTTTTTCCTGATGTTTCTTAGCTTCCAATGCTTTAATTACTCCTGGTATTTCTCAACCGTTCGTTCTCGCGGCCGGCAATATCCCCATGAAGCGGGTGATCCTTGGACGGAGGGAGGGGACACAGACACAGGACCTTTGGGCCCCTGTGTCTTTGGAGGCATCAGCTGCGGCGTTACATTCCACACGGATAAGCAGCGGTCCGCAGCTGGCGCTGAGCTGCGAGCTTCTAGGAGTTTCGGACGCGTTTGGACCCTGATGATGTTATGCCTCTAATGCTTCTGGGAACGATGATCATCTTGAGTACATTCTGGTGGTTCTTTCTACTGGACCTTGCTTTTTGGGGTCAGATATTTTTGGGCTCTCGCTGTGTGTGGGTCTCTAGCGTTTCTTGGGGCCCGGTGTTTCCATGTTGCCTTATGATGGTCCTGAAAGTACTTTACATATGGTTTTGGCCACAATGTTTTTTGTTGTTTTTTTTTTTTTGCTCTCTGTTTGTGTTGGCTATGAGCCTTCTGTGGGTCCCAATGTTTCCGAGACCATCCTGCTAGTTCTGTCGGCCCGTGATGTTTCTGCAAACCACTTGACATCTCTTGAGACGCTATAATGTTTCTGGGGCCAGACAGTTTTGTGAATATTTCCGAGCGTACTAACAGTTTGCGTTGTTGGAGCATCACTGCTTTTGCAAACCACCGATGTTGGAGGACCCCATTCCTTCAGGGGACTTATGATTCCAAACCAGATGAGACACCGTAATCAGGGGAAGATCAAAATGCCGGGGGCTCGCTAGTCCCAGGAGACGTAGATACATCCGGATAGCCACACATACTCCAAATAGTCAGAGGGCACAGAGCTCTCTCAAAGCCGTCAGTGGCTCCAAAGAATGTCAGGAAGCCTGAAAGCCTGAAGCCTCCAGAAGCGCCCGTGACTCCCTCCCCCATGCCTTGAAACTTAGCGACGTACCCAGAGTTATTGAGGGCGGCAAGGTTCCGTCAAACCAAAACACAACGGACCAGAGACCACAAGGGTCTATAAATTAAATAAAAAACGGGGTTCGCAAAACAGCAGCGTCGCTAGGCCATCGATCCCAACCAACAGGCAGACTCATGGAAATATCTCAGAAAGATTGAAGGGAGTGCTCCACATATGAAATTGAAGCAAGCAGCAGATGTGATGAAATGAGCTACTTGTATCAGATCGTATGCTTTTATGTGGAAAAGACCGCTCTAGGAAACCAAATGTCTGTACTTAGTTAATATGCTCCTCAATACGTCATTGTTTCATTGCGTCATCGTACCTTGTACAACAATGATTGAGAGCCAATTGACGGCCGTTTCTGGAAATAGTGCTCACAAAAGCCAGGTATGAACGACTCGACAATTACATTTTACTTGGCCTTGATCGCCGAACGACCAACTAACCGGCAGATCTTGAATGGTGTTTGTAAGGCGTCATGCATGCCTGGGTGACCTTGAAATAGTCTCCACATATTTGCGGACGTAAGTTCAGAAACCACAGGGGTTTACTTTCAAAGAAGGGCACGACTGTGAACTGCAACGAATGATATTCAGGACGGCTATTTCAGTTCAAAACCCTATACAAATGTGGAACACAACCTAAACGTCCCACAGAAACATCAGGGCCTTCAGAGACATCAGGCTCTTAGGCGCCAAGGGTCATCAGAGGCGCACACACCACAAATATCAGACCGCCAAGGTATCCAAGACATTATGGACACGAATGACATCAGCGGCCTAACAAGCACCCCCGGATCGAACGCGTCACGGTGGCAACGGGCACCAAAACATGGATGATTGCATCACACTGATGTCCTACGTCGCATCAATTAAAGTGGTCTTTCAGTTCACGTCTCTGTCAGCGAGCCACCGGCTCGTCAAAGTCGGAAACTTTGACGTGAAATTGCGGACTAGTTATCACTGTACATGATGCTGGACGGTTCACATGAGCTGCCCAACAACAGAATTCATTTTGATTAAATATAAAGCGTAGGACGCCTGTCAAAGCAGTGAGCTGCACTCACGTCCCTCAACGACCACGACCAAAATATCCAGGTGGCCAGCCAATCCGTTGGAACAGTGCCGCCGAGTTCCCGGCGTCATTGAACGTACGTTACAGTTGCGTTCGACAAAAAGCAGCGGCTAGTTTTCACCACCTTCGTGAGCTGCCAGCCCCATCGCCAGGTGAATTGTCATAATCTTTCAACAAGCAGCGGCAGGCCTGGCGTGGCCCTCACCTGGGTGAGGCCGCCGCTCTCACCTGGGTGAGGCTGATGTCGCAGAGGTCACCATCCGTCCTGTTACTCATCGACATGTGGCATTCGCGCAGCCACTGGGCATGGTCGGCGTGCAGCGTTCCGCCAAACTGCACCGGCAGCGACTCGCGAGCTATGTGCAGCGACAACTGCAGCAGGACACGCCAACCCTCACTTGGCGCCGGCGCCGGCAGATGGCAGGGCAGCACCACGCAGCAAAACAACGGCGGGCCTCAAACCAAAAACGGCCTACGCCAACCAATCTGAATACCAGGTGAACAAACACAAACAAGCGTGGTAAGCTTGAACCAAGCACCTAGCGTCACACCATACCGCGCGTGCTCACAGCCAAGATGGCGCGCCAGGACGCCGTCGGCGCTCGGCCGGTCGCCGGCACCCACCTGAGGCCTGCTGACAGTCCACACTCGGTCGCGGAGCTTCTCACGCACGAACAGGCGCAGGATCTTGAAGGGCGCGCGGAACCAGAGCGGCGCCGTCACGATCAGCACTTTCTTCAGTCGCGCCGGGTAGCCGCCCTGCCGGCGGCAGAGGCGGCCATCAGCTGAGCCGGAGCCAACGCCGGGCCGCGGCACGGCACGGCACGGCACGGCACGGCACGGCACGGAACAGCACGGCACGGCACGGCACGGCACGGCAAGGCACAGGCACAGGCACAGGGCGGCCCTCCGCCGGTGGCAGAGGAGGCCATCAGCCGAGCTGGAGCCGGAAGTGACGCCGGGTCGAGGCACGGCACGGCAAAGGCACAGGGCGGCCCTCCGGTCGCGGCAGAGGCGGCCATCAGCCGAGCCGGAGCCGGAGCCGGGTCGCAACACGACATGGCACGGCACGGCACAGGCACAGAGCGGCCCTCTGCCGCACGCCGACACACACGGGCGAGACACAGCCAGCACGTGGCGCGCGTGTGTGCGTGGCCACGCCGGAGCAGGGTTTGGCGCTGAGTGGATCGATAGCGCGGATTGCTGGCGGGTAGGAGACTCCACTTCCAATACATGCTGGATTGGACGTCTGTGGCGGGACACGCAATTCGCATGGCGCTTAATTGGCCGCACCTTCACTCAGCCACGGCGTCGCATGCATGCTTGCGAGCGTGTTGACATCAACACAGATTCCATGGGAGGCATCGTGCCAGCGAAAAATGTTCCAATTTTTGTGGTCTCTGACAAACATCGACAAGAAGTTGCCTTTGGTTTTGCGACGGCTGAAAAAACTTTCCATCCCCCAGCATACAAAAGCACCAACTTTCGCGTTCACTCATTAAAAGTTCTACTAATTGCGTAGAAACACTATGGTACGACTACTGGAGCCGCATAGTGAAAAGCTACTACTACGTTTGGGTCTTCTACAGTCTGACAGTGTCTGGGCCTTCTCGGGTCCACTCAGGGCAACAAAAACCGCAAGGTTACAATCGATAAAACGACTGACAAAGAAAATGACAATGATTCAGGAAGACATGCAGTAACTTTCTACGATGTCTGTGCTTCATGGCGCCGGAGGCAGCGTACGCCCGTGGCCCGACTTCCAGTCACTTCTATCTGACGATACTCGAGTGGTGTCTGTGCTAACAGTGTCGGAGCTTGGCCAGCATCCAAATGTTAGTCTGCACTGCCCGAGATTACACCTGGTGTCTACGTCAGTACCCACCACGATTTGCTGGCGCCCATGCATTTAGGGCCGTGCTGGTAGGTTTCCGCCGCTAGGGCATTGTTTGCGGACTAATGGCATCCCAATTTTTTTCCCATTCGCAAAGCAAAAGGCGACCAGCCAAATCATCCAATCACTGTTTTTACGGATATTGAACCACTTACTGGTTTTCTTACTGGTTTTACGATAGCCAGCCACTCACTGGTTTTGAACAATGGGAATCGTGGGTTGAGACCAGCATACCATGACAGAAAAGTCGGAGTTGTACACACTCCGCAGTGGAGACCAGAGGATACAGTGACAGGAGGATGGTGAGCTTAGCCAAGGGTACCGTTCTCACATGTGCCATTGCGACTGTTGCCATCTTGGTGTCCTCACGGACTGTCGTGAGAGATGGCCACGGATCGCCTGCGCTCAGCGGCCCTGTGCCATCAGGTCATTGGCTGGGAGCCGCCGGCCGCCACCGCCATTCGGTGCGGACCTCAGCAGGTGCGGGGCCACAGCCCTGGCACGCTTGTTCAGTGAGACGATCGCGCTTCAGAACCAAGGAATCGCTTCGCATGACGGACGGGCTGCGTTCGAGAAGCATACATCTTATAAGACTGGTTTTATCCGGGGGTCTCGTCCTAGTGAAACTTCCAAAAAAGGGTTGAAAAAGGTCTTTTTCAATTTTTTTCAAGTCAATTTTTCCAATGCCAAGCTTAAGGCCTCGCCTAAATTTTATGAAAGTTGAGGGTGCTGCCACAGCTTCCCAAAACAGTTCAGTACGGGCCATGCTTGTCGGCATAAGCTCCCTCGATAGATTCGTCGCAAACAGCAACATTCCTAAGCAATCATTATTAAGGTTTTGTGTAGACTTATGTAAGATAAAACTCATTTCGCTTCTTGCTTGCTACTGCCACGTGAGCCAACATTGCAGTGCTACAGAAATAATGGTCAAAAGCGTTTAGAACAATTGTTTTGGGTGGATCAGCAGATTTTTGACAGTACAATGGTGTAGCCAAGCGAGAATTTTAAGTGGCCAAAATGGGCCCATGGCCCCATGGCCGCATGGGCCAAAAACTTTGGCAGTTTACGCAGCTTGCCGTTCAAAGCTCCCAGCATTCTTTAGCAGTTTAAGACGCACACTGGGCTTTATTAGCATCGAAAACAGGAGCTCGATGCCTCAAACTAGGGTCGCGAGCCTAAATACCCCCTTCCGACTAAACCATCGGGACCCTCATGTAGCAACGAAATGGGGCTACTCTTGCCTGAAGTGACCTCATGCACCGATTTGGCCCTCTTCTGGACAAAATCCTAGCTATACCAATGGATATATATATATATATATATATATATATATATATAAATGCATGTATATGTATGTATGTATATGTACCATTGTTTGGATACTATGCCTAGACTTTCGCCGGTACGCGAGACCACTCACCAAATGTTTTTGGAAAGAGCAGATGCCACGCAGATTTTGTCTAAAGTTTTGGAGGAATTACACCATGAATGCCTAAATGTACCCCGACATGAAGAGCCAAGGCATCATTACATTTAAATATGCAGTATATCACAGTTGAGCGATGTCTCGTTCAAGGCTATCTAACGATCTCGTTCAGCCCGCGCACATTTCGTCTCACTTGGTCCAAAGTCATTTTGCGGCATCGATGGGCTACTGGTAGCTGCGTCAATATGCCAGAACCTGGTAGCCACAGGTTACCACGGCCGTTTGTGGCAGCGATATCCAGTGTATCAGTCTTCCTAGCGCCACGCTGTGGGGCAAGATGCCTGGGTGGTTGAACCAGGTCCTCTACAAATAGCCATAATCGTTATTGACAACACAAAACTCGTTACTACGCTAGACTCCCGATATGCTAGTGAGCTCAAAACACATAGACTTTACACGAACAAGCAAATTAAGAAAATTTCAATCGCGCCCAATGCCATACGTACCTCGACGATGCGTTTATTTTTGAATTTCAAAGATTACAAGGGCGATATTAATTTTGGCATCCCTCGACCTTTTCGTACTTTGAATCGACAGAACTTACAAATCAAATGTGAGAAATGCGTAAATATTCGACATACGTGGCGAAGCCATACATAAAGGATGGCTACTACAATAAATGCATTGTATTGTTTCTATAGCCTTGCATATCACCAAAACGCACGCAGAAAAACTGAACTCCTCGGTGCCAGATTAGCTAGGGCACCTCGGCCGTCGCTGACCGTTTCGTCACACCGGCGACTGCGCGGCCGGATCAGCGGGATAGCGGCGTCATGGCGGCCCGTGCAGGCCGGCTCGGCGCCGGCGGTCGGCCCGGTGCCGACGCCGCTCACCTGGCTGACGTCGCGGGCGGGGGCGGGCGGGCCGGGCCAGGCCGGGGCCGGGGGCGGGGGCGGGCGGCCGCCGGGCCGCGGGCCGCGCCGCTCGGCGACGGCTCAGGTCCCCGCGGGCGGGCGGCGGCGCGCGGCGAGCGAGCGGGCCGGCCGGCGGCAGAGGGTGGCCCGCACTGGCCGGCCGCCGCCGCTCAGCTGTCTCCGGCCCGTATCGACCAGACATCGGCGGCAGCGGCGGCGGCGGCGCCGGCGGCCGCCTAGGGGCACGCACCAGCCGCCGCCAGCCGAGGGGAGCCCCTTTGTCCAGCCGGGACGGCTCCCCTGAGCTGCGGTCGATGCCGGCCGCACGGACGGGTGCCATTCGGAGCGCCCGCGGCGGCACGCACTGCTCGGGGCTCAGCCAGGCTGGCGCTGTCGCCAGCCCCGCCGCTGGCTCCGGCTGAGGCTCCAGTCCCGGCACGCGGGGGTGGGCCTCGCCGCGGACCGGCTCACCGGCGTCGGATCACCGCGCCACCGCCGGGCAAGGGACCCAAGTGTGACGCAGCGCCCCTCTTCAGCAGGTCGGAGGCGTCCGTACCCGGCGCCACGGCAGATCGACTGCATTTTCACCGTCCGGCCATACGGCAGTCGGCTTTGCCAAACAAATGAATATATGTCAATTTTTCATCGGCCAATTCAAGAGAAAGAAACGAGATTTCTTCACGGACCTTTCTGCATTCAAACGGCGTTTCCAGAGACGATCAGTGCTTGATGATATTCAAATAAGCACGTATGGATAAATGTGGCCTTTGGTCTCAGGAAAAACGAGGCTTCTGCTGCTACCAGTCCGATAACGAGGAAAACAGGTCATTCCAAAAAGAGGCTTTCAACCCTACAAAATATCGAATCATCGTCTAGCGGAAATATCGCCGCTTTGTGTCTTTCAACAGACCCGTCATTGGCTACAACTTTGGCATAGCTGTGGGAATCACCTACTCGCCTCCCGTACAGCGCATGTTCAAGTCTAACCGCTGCAGAACTGTTATGGTGTAAATATTCGGAGAGACACCAAATAGGAACATATAAAACCACCACGTTCTACGTCTTTAGCTCCAAAACGACTTTTGGAGAGGACTTATTCCTCAAACCTCCTGCTAGGCGCTCCCATTCCACAGTGCGACAGTGAGCCGTCTGACGGCCCGCACTGTCTTCATTCACCTGGACATGCTATCGCGTCACTGTATGACAAGTTTGCACAAATGGTATAGCTAATACCCTTTTGAAAACAGCGTCATTCGTCGCATGCCAGCTCCTTAACACGCGCTCGGGTGGGGAGTCGATTTGACCCCCACCCCACGAAGATTTTTTCCGGAATGGTTTCCGAACGGCGTGGCGTAGCCGCAACACATTTTGCCTGGCTGTACGCAAGTGAATAACAGATTGTTTGGTATCAAAAATTTACATGTACCTTGTAAGGTCGCTGACCTACAGCAGGTCAAAGTCAGGCCGCAGATTCAGCGAAGTCCATTTCTAGAGAACCGTTCAATCTCATGCAACAACGGAGAGTCAGACGGAGCCATACATCTCTGAGATACCTTCTTAGGCAGCACAACGTTTGAATGAACACATTCCATCGACCTAGGATCACGTGTGGACGTCAAACCAAGGTCAAAACCAACATGCTATATGACTCAGGGGCTTGCTGTATGAGGTGGTTTCTGGTGCCCATTTCTAATTAATTGAAAATAGGAACGACACTATACATCTTCAATGGACTTCTTATAGGTTGAAGAGGTCAATGACCTAAAGTAACCGAGGTCAATATTTTGGTTTTCAGGACGTGCTGCCTAGCGTAATCTTTGTTGCTTATTCAAACACAGAACCCAAAGTAGTCTTGTATGATTTTGGTCACGATGACTCTGACAAGGTTAAACAAGATCACTGAACTTGAATGAGCATGTGACCTTTTTACAACAGATATCTAGGTTGTAGGGGTACTTTGGAGACCAACCTGGAGCTTGACCGTGTCTGCCCTTGTTTGACCGGAATGTCATAACCTAGGAACCTCAAACTTTGACCTAAGTGAGTTCACGTACAGACCAGCACACCCGTAAATTTGGCGCCTCTAGCTCTCTTAGCACCTGATACCTCAGGGGATCCAAATGACACCCCAAACGAAGGGTGTCCAACCGGTCACCCGGGCGCGTGTTGACATGCAATATACATACATACATACATACACACATGTATATATATATATATATATATATATATATATATATATATATATATATATATTGAGAGCAACAGGCGCCTGCCGCGGTGAACAGTCGCCGACTGAAATGTAATGCGAAGGCGGGGACAGGAGTGGCACCATCAGTATGGCGGACCACTCAGAAACCTTCAGCCTGGCAGCGACCCCGACAGTGACGGCACTGGGGCGAGTCAAGGGATCCACTTAGCGCCTTCAACACGGGGCGAAAGCGGGGACACGGCGCGGTTCTGTGAGGCACGGAGGGTCTCCGCGGTCAGCTGTTCGTTCGCTGATCTGCTGGGCGGACAGCTGGACGGACGGACCGGCAGGACACTCCAGTCGGGCGGACGGCCAGGGCAGCGAGCCGCGAGTCCGTCCAGGGTACTCGGGTGCTTGGAACAGCGCTGGACGTGAACAATGTGAAAGTGGCATTCACCACGACGTCGTTCAGTACGGAAGATACCCGACAGCACTTTACCCGACGCCGAGTCCGAAACAGTTTTCACCAATGCGGATGGGGGCTAATAATATGACCCCAACAGTCAGCCAGCTTCGTCTGGTGGCAAACAATAAAATCTCTCGCTGGCCATCCGTCTCAAAGACGATCGGGGCGGCCCATTTGAACGGGACCCATCCGGCTAACCGTCACAAACAAGCGAGCGGAGCTGCGGTGAGTACAGCCGGAGGTCGATTAGACGCCGGTAAGGACCATACAGCCAAAGATCGACGACTGTACCGACCGCGTGATCTAACTTTTCGAAAACATTTGAAGCGTTCGAAAAGGTCTGACTTATAGATACTAATCTCGTCGAGCGAAAGTGAAAACTGAACAGGACCGAAGGAAAAATACCAGCACCGAAGTCGTAATGTCGCGCTGATAGAGCAGCTAGACGGGCAAAACTAACCGCAAAAACAATCACTTTATTTTCACCTGTAAGAGACTTCGAGCCTCCCGAACGCGACAAAAGCAAAAACCACGGCGCTGAAGACAATTAGTAAGCACTTCAGACGGAAAGAAATCTCTCCACCGGTGAAATGAGGACTGCAAGCCGTAAGCAAAACGCGACAAGGCCATCTGTAGGTTTTTCAAGCCGACTTGCACAAAACACGATCTATGAGTGCCAGCTGAACAGCAAACGATCAGAGGGGCATGATGAGAACAAATTCGACGTACACATCGGTGCTCTCTCGCATGGCTGAAGAGAAATTACACAATATGCCGCTGGAGGCCGCAAACAGCAGAACTCCCGCTCCAAGTTTTCCACGATGAGCATCGTTCTCATCTAGTTCCATGAGCAATCGAGACCGATTGGCGTTGACGGCACCCCCTAGCGAAGCCGCTCCAGAGCTCATGGTTAGTGGATCATGGTTCTGTGGCGGCACCGGCTGATCGCGGCGCCGCACCTGGACGGCGCGGCGGTGGCGCCACCTAGACGGTCTCAATAGAAAACTGTCGGCTCGAATGGTGCAAGCACGATCCAGTGCGGTCTGAATAGAAACGGCATAGCGCTGTAAACCAAATCTTGGAAAATCTTTGCGAAAATCCTAATTCAGCGGTGAAACAACCCACAGATCTGAAAACTTTTCCTCATAAGTACAGTTGAGTCGCCAGGCGCGTCCTGCAACATGTGATGCATGCTAACGACATCGTTGATGTTTGTCGCATAAAATCGGAAGAAATGGGTTGCATGGTTTCATGGGACACTTGACACCTTAGCACAGCTAGGTGTTTCTTAAAAGTGGGTTCCTTTTCCCCTTCGTTCATGCATACGGCATTCAATGTGCCCTCAGGTCTGATCGTTCAATAATTTCTCCCAGTGTAACGTAGACGAATGTTTATGGCCAAGTTTAAGCACGTTCAATATCCCATGATTGAAAAATCGTCAGCATGTAAAAATAATAAAAAAGATAGATGTAGACACTGTTCACCAGTATTCAGCCCCTCTTGACGCAACCAATCTCGGACAGAATAACAAGGTGTACGGCTCATAGAAAACGATAAGCTCTTTGTTACATACGATAAGTAAGCACACGAGACAAAACAGCGCATTACAATTACCCAGATGAGCGGAGACAACAGTTATTGTAAAAGAGGTAATGAAGGAAGAAGATGACAGCAACGAATGGAGGCAAAACTGAACTCGACACAGTTATGGATGAGAGGCAAAGATGCGATACATACATGCAAAAATGAGTAGTATCAAAAGAAAGAAAATATATGGACGGAACGAACATGATACCTGGACGCTCCCAGCATGGACAGGGAGAAATATGTTTACATTGTAAGTAGCACTGACATTTACACTTTGTTTAAAGATGTTGACAGCTTGGAGAACGAGATATGGAGAAACCAACAAATTTCAGTTTTTAATGAAGGAGATACATTAGCGCTGGTAAGAGATACAGCTTCGCAACACCTAGTAGAACTCTTCCCAAACACAAGTAAAGAAAACAGTAGTCATATTGCGATAACATTAGCGATCTTAAAACATCTTTCGGAGAATATTAGGCGACGCTTAACGGTCCAACAGAGAAGATCACAAAGATCTATAAGCCAGCAAGAATGCTAAAGCTCTGCAGAAGATGGGAAATCATACATCAATCACTCTGAACCCAAATCATTCAGAAAAAGATCGGGAGCCAAAGGCCACTCTTGCTTGCATCAATACACCCAGACCCGCCATGATTCAGTTCCGAAATGCTTAGGTTTCCTGCCCACACGTACAAGGTATCTAAACTGAACATACTAAGCTACCCAGCGAGGTAGCGCGGCGCAGTGTAACGACTGCGTCGAGCTTCAGCCACCCCGACCAAAGGACATATACAAAAGACCCTTGGACTCAGACCACTGCCTGGGCGAGCACGTCCGTATCTCGGACGTTACACGTGAGACGTTATTCACTGCGGTTTGAATAGGCCCTTGGACCCACATTGTGTTGTTTCCATAAGCGGGACCACATAGGGAAAGCATTGCTTGAAAGCGCCTGTCGTTGAAAACCCACAGCGTGGAAGTAAGCTAGGCTTCTATTAACCACTCTTCGTCCAATTTCATTTGACGCCTTATGCATCAATAAGAAATAACGTGTGTCTTAAATTAGACATTCCTTCTCGTGCCCATTCATTTTTTTCCGCAAAAACACGCTTCCAGCAGCCACAATAGCCCTCCGCTACAATGAAATGCGAAGTATGCAACAGGTCGGCACGTTTGCGGCACACGCCACCGCGCTCCCTGCACCGAATGAGACCAAACTGTAACCAGTAGTACGCTCCCGCAATTCACAAACGACGGTACTGCAGCCTAGCTACGGATAGTTCCGAACATCCGCCACCCCCCGCCACCGCGCCGCCGCTCTGCCCACCTTGAGAAGGTTGAGTATCTTCTGACTGAGGTCGTAATCAAAGTTGGAGTATTTAGAGTCGGACATGTCGTAGATGAAGACGAGGCCGTTGCGCTGGGCGTCGATGTTCTCCATGGCCACGTCCAACTGGTACACGATGCCCTGCCGAGCCGAGCGCGGCACACCGGTTATCAGGCGCCACTCCCCGCTCCGGGACGCCCCCCCCCCCTTACGCGATGCCCCCCCCCAAACGCGATGCCCCCTCCGGGGCGCCCCCGGACACCATGGGCGTCGCAGAGATATCTCCACGCCATAGATTGTGGATAGCTTCAGGGAATGACGATGGCTGCATTTATTGACGTCACCGGACATTACAACACTGCACAGAAGTTCACCAAACTGGCATCTTGTTGCTTACAGGAGCACTACACCTCGTCGGTAATATGCGTGTGGTTCTGTCCTCGCTTTCAGCTTAACGTGACAAACATGGGAACTTACGAGTTTACCGCGTCAAATCCTCTCCGTATCAACGGCATTACACCTACGTAAGCCCAACAACCGGCCAGGGACAAACTGAACGCCCAGCCAACGAATAGCCACCGCTTGCGTCCGTCGCTCTCTACATGGACAGAACGGGATGCTTCGCCTAATTCATGTGATTGTTATCGCTGGTTATCGCAAAACACATTGAAAATGGCTTCACCCAAAGGCACCTGACGTTTCCACTTGGCCACCCGCATGCAAATATAACTTCGCAAATTTAGCTACGGCCGAAACATCCAGTGTCTTGACATGCCAACTTCTCCAACCAGCCCATGCAACAAGTCACTACCTCCGTGTTACAGATCGGTACAGCATGCGCCCGTAAAACACCCGTCTGAGCGAATACGTAACGACGAGCTCACTGCAGTGGACGTCGTTGGCCGTTCAGATGGAAGACCAAAGCAGTCTGAGAGTGGGTAGACACCGAGCGCGCCGTCGGACTGACCTGCAGCGTGTCCTTGTGGGTGGAGAGGTGCGGGTTGTGCAGCCGGGCCGTAAACAGGGCGATCGAGGCGCCGCAGCTGTCCCGCACCGGCTGCACCGGCACAGAGTCAGATGCGGCACGGCCGGGCACAGGGCCGACAACGGCACAACGCCAGGGCGGAACGATGGCGCAACGGCACGCAGGGGAACACAGCGGGACAACGGTGCAACGGTACGTGACGAGACGAAGGTACCCACAATCAGAACGAAGAACACAGGTGTATGAGATCAGACGGTGACACAGCCGTACAGAGCGCCGGACGGTGAGGAGACGGTACACACCAGCAGACGGTGGGACCACGGTATGTAGGGCAGACGGTGGCGGTACACAGTCAGGCTGCGAGACAGCGTCATAGTCCCAGGTGGCGGGACAATCATACATAGGGTCAGGTAGTTGGAATACGGAACACAGCACCAGGAGGTGGGGGAACGGTACAGAGGGTCGGATGGTGGGACAACATTGCAGAGGGTCAGGTGGTGAGACAAGAGTGCAGAGGGTCAGGTGGTTGGACGACAGTGCATGGGGTCAGATGGTGGGACAACGGCGCATAATGCCAGGTGGTGGGAACACAGAACGTAGCCTCCTGTGGCGGAACAACAGTACAGGGGGTTATACTATGGATGGTGATGCATCTGGGGGTCGTGTGATAAGACAACAGCACTTGAATTAAGAAATGGAGGGGGGAGGCAACAGTTATCAGGGCCAGACAAGGAGACAACAGTACACATGGTCCTACAGAATGATGGCGGCACACCAGGTGGGGCGGCGCATCACTGATCCATACGACCACACCATATACAAGATCAGGCGACCGCGCACTGGTACCAATGGTCAACGTACAGCTTCAGATGGGACCCAACAGTACACAGGGCCAGAGGGAGAGACAAGAGTGTTCTGGGTACCACGACAGGACTGCAGCACACGGTCACATAACGGAAAAACGGCTCGAAAACGGAAAACGACAATCCCGACCGACGACATGACAACCGCGGTGCGTGGGTGCCGTTGTCGGGGGAACGGTGGACAGGAGGCAGGGCGGCGAGGAAGGCGGATGGTGCGCATGGCTGAACAGAGGACAGGGGTACACATACCAGATGAAGGGACAGGAGAACAAGTGGTCAGGCAGTGGCACAGAGGTAGAATCTGATAAGATAATGGTGCACATGGTCACAGGGCGGCGCAACGGTGCGCAGGGTCTTAGAATGGCGCAATGGTACACAGGGTCACAGGACAGCAAAATGGTGCACAGGGTCACAGGACGGCGCAGTGGTACACACCGTCACACGGCAGGACAGCGGTACGACGTTTTGGTGGCGGGACAGTGGCACACAGGGTCAAGCAGTGCTGCAATGGTAAACAGGGCTTGACAGCAGGACAACAGCAGGTGAATATGAAGCACATTACATCGCATAAACACCGTAGCCTATCATGCGACATGTGACGACCCAGCCGGCCGCTGCATCAAACGATTCGCTGCCAAACGCCCTGCTGCTATGATTGTCACCTACTTACCAACAGAGTGAACTTTTTCATCTCGAGTTCACTTTTCAGCGGGTCTTCATGGGGGTGAAAGTCAGTCAGGTTTTCCATCAGCCGTGTCCGTTCGTGCTGCTCGTAAAGCGTCAGTGCCCTGGCAAAACAAAGAAGTCGACACGAACCAATTATGCGTCGGGCGGGTACGGCCGAAGTTGCGAAATAAAGAAAAAAAATGCAAATGGTGTGAATTACACTAGCCCTGGAAGAGGAAAATAAATATTGCCTGAAGAAAGAAATGCGCAATGAATCTAAGGGCATACAACTTTGTGAGTCTGTATCAGGTCTTAGTGTTTAACAAGTCACATATCAGCGATTAGAGAATGGTTTATGTGCATGCTGTTAAAATAGCTGTGGCATTATTTTGACATATTTAGTCATTTTGCATTTCAGTAAGCCTGATTCCAGGGTGTCTTGTGTACAATCCAGTATCAACTGACTCAGGGATGGGTCAAAACTTCTCCAAGTCAACTAACAACTTTTCGAGATTACAAAGATACACAAGGTACTGCAGAGCTGCCTCCAAACAACATAGTTTGTTACATGTAAAAACAGTTTATTGTTCCTCAAGTGTTGTTTGATTTCGATCAGAATAAGAATGGGCATAACCTTGCCATTCCAAGATGTTGCCTGCTCAGCATGGCAACATTGGTTGCAATAGGTACCTCAAGATGCAGCATCCTCACCAAAAACCTATTTTTACTCAACCTTACGACAATCATATCCTAACCTTCGCCATAACTTGTTTTTTCACCACCCACTTATCCCTTAATTCATCCCACATAACTATGTGCATAAAAGTGGGAAGAATGTGACCGAGACTGTACCGCGAAAACGTGTCTGAAAGTCAAATATGAACACTGCTTGTTCCCAATTCATGATAAGCTTTGCTCCCGGTCAACCAGCTCCACTGCTGTTACTTGCCTATCCACATCAAACTTGCGAGCCATGAGGAACTTGACAGCAGTTTTCCACGTGATAGGACCAGCTCCCTTCCTGTTGCGAGCCTTGTTCACAAGTTCCAAGAACTTCTGTGTGGCCTGTGGGCAAAAGCAGTTGGGGTCATGTTCTATAACAAATCCAGGTGAGGGACCCTATGTCTTTCAATAGCTTTCTTGCTACATCATTTCATTTTATTATATTTCATTTCTGTAGGTAGTAACCCATCATCATCATTCTGAAGAATCTAGAACAAAGGAACATGCAACTAAACTTATTTTTGGCAATGTAGCCATGATCAAACACTCCTATGCATCCAACACACAAACCCAAAATATAACAACATTCAAAAGAGTATGGCTGATCACATGTCCCAGAAGAGCAGACTGGGAACAGAGCCCCTACCCCATACCTGTATGCATAGTTTGACGCAAAATGGCATTATCTACTTACCACTTCCTCATCATTTGACAAGGGTGATGCCATCTTCATTTCCAATGCCTGTGTTATCTTCATAGAACTGTGGAATGATACATGCAAGTGAACAGGTGCACAGCAGCAAACCAGGAGATATTGCAGTGCTGGAAGAATGTGCAAACATGTGGCAACTGCCTTTCAGTGAGAAACTGCACATAGCCCTGTGTATTCGGCAAAAAAATCATCAACATAAGTGCACCATGGAAGAAAGTGCATCAAAGCAGTTAGTGTAGTTTAAGAACCCCAAAAAGCATTGGTGCTGATTGGGCTGTCCTTTGCTCTGTTACTCAGATATTTGGCAGGCCTTACTATAAATTCATTCATAGACATTGGGTCTCTGCCTTTGCTGTGCAAAGCTTTGGAAGGGTCTTACCTTAAATATGGCAATTGCATGTGAGGCTCAATGTAATGTGGAAACCAATACTTTAAACAGTAAAAAAGACATCAACCAAGCTGTTTTGGAGAGTGACAAACCTTGAGTATGAGGAGAGGCTTATGGCATACAAACTACTAAGCATGTGCTACTGGGGAGAAGTAGGGGAAACATGTTCATAGAGTACCAGAAAATCACATGCAAAGATTCAACCCTGAAAAAACTATTCCAGCATGACACAATCAAAGACACCCTCACAGATCACAACACTCAGACACCATCAAGCCCAAGAAACCCACCATAGTCTTTATTGCCACAAATATATGTGTGTGTGTGTGGTAAATGAATGGGATATCATGCCAACTTAGGTTCTTGAATCTCCTAGTGAAAATACCTACAAAAAGTGTTAGGAAAAGCCCTAGACACATACAATCTACAGAACCAGGCCCAGACAGCCATAATGCAAGTTCTGACAATCATGTCTGCTGGAAGTACCTGAAAGCTATCAGTACAACCTTCAAGGAGCAGCACTGATCAGGGTCTTTCAGGTCCTTTTGGAACTTTCCTTCCCAAATGTTATTTGCCAATCTGCCAAAAATGGCAGACCAGTAGACCAGATGCTTAGGGCCGGCTTGATCCTCTGCTTGGGGTGGGGGCCAGTGATATCTGATGATCAGGGGAAAGTCAAGGTTTTCCTGAGAATCAAACTCACATCTAATGGCTACTTTTATTTCCACTGCTATGTTTATAAATGGTCAAAATAGCTCCAGATCCTCCATCCAATATTTGGCATGTGTTTCGGTCACCTTAGAGTAATTAAATAGTAGTTACAGCAGTTAAAAAGGAGTCTTCTTTACCTTAGAGCATATAGGTATGCATCTAGATGACTGGTTGGTTAATTTGTCCCTCCCCTTAAACCTCAAATTACTTAAAGAGCTGGAGACACAAAATTCACCAGGCATATACAGCTGTATGTGAGTTTACTTGCATCAAATTTTGAGGTTCCTTGGTCATGACCATGAGTTCAAATAAGGTTAAAAGGTACCCAACTTCAGATCAGATGAGCCTTTCAGATTGCTTTGATTTTTAATTTCCAAACCATCAGGGATTAAGCTAGGTAGCACATTTTTCAACCACGATTTACCAGTGTAATTTAAATCAGTGACCTCTAATTTTCATTAGGGACCTCCAATTTTCATCAAGTTCAAGTAACACATCTGTCCATGTCCCTGTCTCAAGAAATCTGAAAAGACCACCAAAAACACATGTAAAGAAAGGTCCCCACTTAAAAAATAACTTGCTTTTGATCTTAATGTGATTTTGATTTATGACCCAAAGTCAATAGAAATAGTTGAGATCATAAATTTCATTGTGTTATTGTCTGAGACACCATCTCTATATCTAGCTATCTAGCTCTCTCTAACACTGTGTTGCATCATATCAAGCAATTCCCCAGGAATTGCCTTCTCTGGCAACCATGATCTGAACCACAGGTCAGGGACCTCTTAAGGTATCTGCGTATAGTTCTGGTATACAAACGGATTCGCTTTTGAATTTTCAACAGCCATTCCAAGCTTAAAAATGCTATGTCACACAGCTCAAAAGTTTTTCTTTAAAAAACTGTGGGAATCAAATTGGCCTCAACCTAGCATGAGCTGAATGATCACATATTTCTTACACTGTGAATGATAAAAGCTCACACCTCCATGCTGACTGCTTGTCAATCTGCCCTTCAGTTGTACCTCCCCAACATGCTATGAGCTGCCCTAGTATAATGTGAGCTATCCAGAGATTCACGCCCAAAATTCATAGACACTGCTGCAAAAATGATCCTTCCTCAAGTCTGCCACAAACAAAATATTGTTGAAATGTCATATTTTGCAGACTTGTTTGGAACACTTCATCAAATTAATATTTCACCAACCATTTATAAAGGACAGTCATGCTAGCCCAACAACCTAAGGTGTTCCGGTATAGCCGACCGCATGCTGGATCGACAAATCTTTCGAAACTCATCTATTTTCACGGGTAGCTAGCAGGGCCTACACGGTTGACACCTTGTCACTCAGCGGCTTCCCCCTACTTAACGCGTGGTCGGACCAGGGTCTTGTAATCACAATTAAGCCCAGCCTCTCAAATGAACATTTCGTTTACGTAAATACTCAAATTACTCCACTCACTGCTCATGGTACGAAACGAATATTTACCTTCCGGCCGACACCTTTTCTCAGAGGTTCTCAATGCGCAAACTAACGGCGTATATGGCGCAGGTGTTCATTGAGGTTGAGGCATCCTGTTCATGGAACTGCTGCCGCTGGTACCGCGGCCAATCACAATTGGAGTTGGAGTGGCCGCTTCTCTTTGCGGCTGGTTGGCAGCGAACTTGGTTGACCACAAGAGGTTGCGGGCTTGCTTCGCTGGGCAACGGAGCTGGCTCGTCGAAGGCGCATGCAAAACCTGTGACCCTCCATGTTTGACATGACTTCCGGAAACATCCAACATCATTGGTAGGATTTCCTGGCCGATGCGACCTATGTCTGACGGGATAGCTTTCTGACGGAAGCCGGGCGTCCGATGTGCTGACCACCACGGACGTGTGTGGGTCATGAAAAACTATCGGTGAGCCAGTGTTTCGTGTAGCATATGCTACACATATGCTCAAACGAAAGCCCATCTCGGACCCACAAGGGTCCGAGATGGGCTTTGATGATGGTCCGATGGGATTTGATGGTCCGAGATGGGCCACAAGAGTCCACTTGGACACGCTGGCTGGTATCATGGGATACAATTCTTTTGACGATCCTTCCTGGCATTATGTCTCTGTCCATTATGCTGCTAACGTAGAAAAAGGGCAATGATCGCAATGTTGCGGGTCTGCTGGATAAGGCAAATGAAAAATTACGTGACAATATTCCGGTCCATGACTGTTTTGTCAGACATGGATGTGATGAAATGTAACTCACAAATTCAGAGTTAGCTCTTAGGTGTTTCCTGGAATTGTAGCTGTCAACATTTAGCCGCGTTGTTATCAATAGATGCTATACATTGAGTCAGAAAAGGCACGTGTCCACGAGAGCTACTTTTTGCGCTCGCGCCTGCTTTCTTGTCAAAGTTGGGGCTGGAGCGCATTCCCGAGCTGAATACAACATGAAACCACATTATCGTAGATGTGGGGGCTGGCGTATTCCGCCTTGGGTCGAATGCAAAATTTCATCATAGGGGAGCAACGCCGATTTATGGGCAAAATGTCAAATATGTGTCAAAACCTTTGCGTGACTCAACGGATTTCGCTTCTTTTTAAACGAGCATTCCAAAACGAACTCCCCTTGATCAAAGTTACTCTGCTACCTTCAAAGTCTAGACTTTTAGAGATATTGTTTCTTGTTAAACTTTGGCCATCAAGTATAGCCCGGTTGCCCCTTCCCCCCCCCCCTCCCTCCAATGGATCCGCCCTTGATTTCGTCTCGCAGGTGTCGGCAGTTGTGAAACGCCCCAACGAAACACGAAAATACCGTCTAAAGTTGAGGTGGAGCCAAACGGACGGCATTGCAGAGACATCAGTTATTACTTTCAGCGACATTTCTGTTCACAAATATCTTTAGAATACTGGCCGTTCTCGTCGCCGTCGGGACCCCGCTTGACCATTTGAGATACGCGCCCAAAATCAGCCCCCAAGAATATCGCATCGCATATATACGCAGGAATCGAAGTGGGGGCGCGAGGGTGGAGTGGCGCTGGCATGTGCTGCATACCTCAACGAATTCAAAGGCTACGCAATGTGTTATTGGTGGGTACCTTAAGGGCAATGACAATGTCTTGCATTATTGATCGAGATGTACAAATGTTAAGGGCATGAGTACCTGTGCATCCGGTCCGAAACTGGGGCGTGAGCCCCAGTTTTTGCCAGTAATTTTTTTGCGGTATTGGCGGTTTCTTCTCTCTTCATTTTTTAAATCACCATTTCATGGTTGGCTTGTTGCAGTCTCATCATTACCGCATGGGCTTCAATGATGTCAGATACCTGTACCTTATTATCTTAATTATACTGTAAAATTACAGCATTTCATCTATCCTGTGGTTCCTGTGTGGACAGTACTTGCCACCAACAGATATTGATCCAATGAAATTTGCTGATGCAAGGAACAGTTTTGTGTGAAATATCTGAAACATTGTTGCATGAACTGCTTAGAAACAACATCAACTGTAAATACCTTACGGAGTTTGCTAAAATATTAGGCAAAACAGAGACATGTAGAATGATTGATGCCATCTTGAGATATTTTGGTATCCTTGTTTAGAATTGCTACAACTGAAAGGGTTCCATTGCCTTTCATTCTTGAGCACTTTTAGAAGTTTTGTCATAACAGCTCCAATGTGAGCCAAGCACCAGCAGTACCACAGTTTTCTTTTGTATTGCAAGATAAGTATGGTTCATTATATTGCATCCAATTTTAAAACATCTAGATATTTTGTTTTGATTTGTGAGTTATTGAGATTAACAGCTGCTTTTTGGAGGACCAATCCACAGCAGCTTTACAAAAAATGATATGGGTTTGTATATTTGGTCTTATCCCTTTAAATAACAATGCCCCTGATGATATATCATTGTTGTTTGGCATGAACATGGTGGTGCTCGTCCTGAGATCTCAACAAGACCTTGTTAGGTGGGCTGAGGGCAAACAAATATATGTGGTTTAGTGGTTTTAGGTTTAAGAGCAGGAAGTACTGAAGTAGGTAGTTCACTCTGCTTTAGACCTTAAATGGTTGATCTGGTGAGAAAACATGTTTTATGGGTGAGTTAAGGTCAGCAGAGACTGCTGCTAATCGGATGTTTGCTGCCTCACTTAGGTCGGAATTTAGGAAGCATTAAATATCTGATCAATGTCTGCCATGGTTTGCTGCCTGGCTTCTGTGTTAAGCATAAAATGAAAAGCTACATCAGCATTAACAAATGTGCATACAAAACAGGGGAAAAAATAAGCACCTCATTATATTGACATGAATGCTCATCAGTCACACATTAGATGATTCACACAATATGACATTAATGTGGTGCCATCAGGGTTAAGCAATCCTGTGGTGTGTACTAATGAGTGAGCAGTGGCATGTGATACATGTTTGTATAGGTGTGGTTTAGCTTTCAGAGTTGACATGGTTGAAAATTTTGAGGTGTAGGGTAGTGAGTTGAATGCAAGATATAAATTTTTGGATGCTTGTGATGTATGGCATGTATTTGTTTTCATGTCTTGTTATGTCACAACCATACCCCACAGGACTGCACCACTTGGACAGGACTGCTTTTTAGTGGGGTATTCAGGATGGCAGGGGGCATTCAAAGCATTATTCCTCATGAAATCCCATCCTGAATGTGCAACAATTCAGGTGTATTTGATACAGCATGTATGTTTTTGTGTAGTGTACATATGACATGCCACATTTTCTCATTGACAGAGTCCGCAGCAGCGATTGCCACACATTGCCATTGACTGCTTGCTGTGTGGTCCTGGGCGACTGACCAATGGCATCACCAGACTGTGACTGGTGGGGCGGCGCGCCACCGGCCAGCGTGGCGCGGCTCTGGCAGCCGCCGCCGCCACCCGAGCGTGACGCTGATGGCCAGTTCGCCGACGCGGACACCTCGGACGAGGAGGGCGAGGTGGCGGCGCGCTGGGGCGGCAGCTCGCTGCAGACGGTGGTGGCGGCGCCGGCCGGCGGTGTGCCGCGCCTGGCACTCTGCGACATGGTGGCCTCGCCGCGGCAGCTGGCTCCGACCGAGAGCCCGCGCAGGGACGAACCGCCGCCGCACTCCGGCCACGGCGACGGCGGGCGGGCGGAGGAGAGAGCGCGCAGCAGCGGCGCTGAAGGCGACGCCGGCTCCGGGGCGGCCTCCGCCGCCGAGCAGCGGCGCAGCGTCCCGTCCGCCCGCGGGGACTCTCCGCCGGCCGGCGGGCCGCCGTGGGCCGAGGCCAGTCCGCGCTCCGTGCCCGACACGGCCAGCGTCTCGCTGCGCAGCTTCCTGGACGCGGCCGACCTGACCGGCGACGCCACCGACTCCGAGGCGCCTGGCCCGCCGCTGTCGCTGGCCCCCGACTCTGCGCGCACTGTGACGGGTGGCCGCTCGCCGCTGTCGCTGCCCGCTGCTGCTCGTGCGGCGTCTGCCAGGGCCGGCGAGGAGCGCGCCACGGCGTCTTTTGACCTCGGCGGGCGAGGGGAAGAGCCTGTAACGGCGTTTGACAACTGTGATGCGTGGGACGAGCCTGCGAAGTCAGTGGAAGGTAGGAATGTAGACGGTGATGAGGTGTCGCTGGAGGAGTGCAGCGAGCGGGACGGGTCCGCGGCTTCATTGGAGTACGGGCCCCGCAGTGGCCATTTGGCGCCACAGGCTGGTAACACAGCAGCACCCGCACACCACGCTGTCAGAGGCGGCAGATCGGTGGTAGCGCTCGGCCCGCTGGCACTTCTGAGGGAACGATGCAGCGCTGGAACTGTCACCTCATTCGTGAGTTCTGCCGCGGGCGAGGCGCTGGTGCCGTTGCCAGGCAGCGGCAGAAACGAGTCATCAGCGCCGCCGGACAGCTCCGGCCGGGGCGTCATCACCTCCAGGACAGGTGGGACGTCCGGGGAGAACATGGGAGGCGGCACGTCGGCGCCACCGGACGACTCCGGCCGAGGCGCGACGGTGACATCGGCGACTGACAGCGACGCGACCCGAACACGCGCCACACCAGAAGACCCAGATGGCGGTGGGACCGCGGCATCACCGTCGGACGAGGGCAGAAGCGGTGGCACGCTAGCATCGGCAGACCAGGCCGGCCAGGGCAGCTGGGCGCGGCGCGACAGCGCGGGGCCGGCTGACGTCGACTCGGCGGGCGCTGAGGGCGCCACGTTCGCCGACTTCGACAGTGTATCCGCCGAGCCGGAGGAGCCGACAGCGGCGGGCCCCGCGGCGCCTTGCCCGGTCCACGGGCGGGCGGCCCATCGGCGTGTGGCTAAGCGCTCGCCGGCGCGCCGGCTCTCGTTCACGCTGGAGAACCCCAGCCCGCTGCTGGTCGAGTACTACCTGAAACACCCGGAGGAGCGGCTGCAGGTCAGACGCCGCTGGCAGCTTAGTGGTGGGGATGGGATCAGCAGGGCTCAGTTCTTGCGTGCTGGAATTCTGCAGTCCCCAAAC